GCTCCATTCTCTCTACATGTCCGAACCACCTCAACAACCCTTCCTCAGCCCTCTGGACAACAGTTTTGGTAATCCCGCACCTCCTCCTAACTTCCAAACTACGAATTCTCTGCATTATATTCACACCACACATTGCTCTCAGACATGACATCTCCACTGCCTCCAGCCTTCTCCTCGCTGCAACATTCATCACCCATGCTTCACACCCATATAAGAGCGTTGGTAAAACTATACTCTCATATATTCCCCTCTTTGCCTGCAAGGACAAAGTTCTTGGTCTCCACAGACTCCTAAGTGCACCACTCACCCTTTTCCCCTCATCAATTCTATGATTCACCTCATCTTTCATAGACCCATCCGCTGACACGTCCACTCCCAAATATCTGAATACATTCACCTCCTCCATACTCTCTCCCTCCAATCTGATATCCAATCTTTCATCACCTAATCTTTTTGTTATCCTCTTAACCTTACTCTTTCCTGTATTCACTTTTAATTTTCTTCTTCTGCATACCCTACCAAATTCATCCACCAATCTCTGCAACTTCTCTTCAGAATCTCCCAAGAGCACAGTGTCATCAGCAAAGAGCAACTGTAACAACTCCCACTTTATGTGTGATTCTTTATCTTTTAACTCCACGCCTCTTGCCAAGACCCTCGCATTTACTTCTCTTACAACCCCATCTACAAATAAATTAAACAACATACATGTACAAGCATATATATACACACCCCTCTGGGTTTTCTTCTATTTTCTTTCTAGCTCTTGTTCTTGTTTATTTCCTCTTATCTCCGTGGGGAAGTGGAACAGAATTCTTCCTCCGTAAGCTATGAGTGTTTTAAGAGGCAACTAAAATGCCGGGAGCAAGGGGCTAGTAACCCCTTCTCCTGTATATATTACTAAATGTAAAAGGAGAAACTTTCGTTTTTCCTTTTGGGCCACCCTGCCTCGGTGGGATACGGCCGAAAGAACTGTGACTTCAACGTTGTGTAGTTTTAAAAATAGGTTTGATAGATGCATGGCTGGGTGTGAATTGGACCTGACTAGTTTCTGCTAGTAAATCATACCGCCCATAGAACAGCCCCCTAAGCAGTTCATAGTGCTCTCATATGGTGATGGTAGATGAATGGTTCAGAGAACCGACATGTTGAATTAGACACATGTGCAACTCTTGGGTATCTTTATTGAGGAAACGTTTCGCCACACAGTGGCTTCATCAGTCCATACAAAGGAGAAACTTGAAGAACAGGAGGAGAATGAGGTAATCAGTCCCTCAGCCTTGAGTCGATGTGGTCAGTCCATCAATCTTAAATAGAATACGGCATATGAGCGGAGAAGCAGCTTATAAACCGTAGACAGGTGAGGGGCAGCAGTCGTAGGTGGTGTAACATTTGCTTCTCCGCTCATATGCCGTATTCTATTCAAGATTGATGGACTGACCACATCGACTCAAGGCTGAGGGACTGATTACCTCATTCTCGTCCTGTTCTTCAAGTTTCTCCTTTGTATGGACTGATGAAGCCACTGTGTGGCGAAACGTTTCCTCAATAAAGATACCCAAGAGTTGCACATGTGACTAATTCAACATCATGTGGTGATGTTGCCACGAATACTCGCCGGGCACTTGCTATGAGTAACATCAACGTTTCCACCATAAACACATCATCTATCAAGGACCTCACTACGAAACGCAGCCCCACACCTCTAACTTCTACAGCAGGCGTCTACTCTATCCCCTGTGGATTCTGTCCCAAGAAATATGTAGGCGAGACAGGCAGAGATCTTGCAGTCCGCCTGAATGAGCATCGAAATGCCTCTAACAGAGACGATGTAAGGTACGCCTGTGTCCTCCACAGTGACTCCACAGGGCATTTGATGAACTGGAATGAGACACAATTCGTTCTCACCGAACCAGACCTCAGACGCCGACGTTCCTAGAAGCCTCACTAATCGCCGTCACCGACACTATAGAACGTAACACTGGAAACTACAAAATTTCAAAAACATTGGCATACATGATATTTAAGCACCAACAACCCAACAACACAGGAGTCACATGATTTCATCGTCTACCCGTCCTCATCCCAACATGACATTCTTCAGGTCGCCGTGCGTCACTCACACCTCACTCTCCGCCTATATATATAATGTCTTTCTACCTCTGAATGTTAGAAGTGATCGAGGTCCCAGGACCGAAACGTTTTCTAATAAATGTCATAGTGTTTGCTTACGTGTCTTTCTAAACCAACTTGCCGGTATTTATTACCAAGGTTTATACAATCTTGTCTGACACTGCAACACACTATGGACATAGCATACAGAGAATACCTTTCTCTCCTACTTAAAGCTAATAGTCTTCGTAACCGACACAACTTCCTAGAAGACTGTCTTGCTGAGATGGTGGTACCATGGTCCACTCTTCGACAACTGACCACATCTAGACACCCTTTCTCTCCTGCTGTTTACGCCTACCTTAGAGAAAGCTCTGATGAACTGCCACATGCTCAGAAGGAGGCCTCATTAAGTGCCGCTCAGATTCGTGCTTCACTTCCTACTCCTGACAGAAGAAGGGGCAGAATATATACTCACCCCAAATTACCATGCCAACATCCAACAGAAATTGAAACTATCACGAAACTACAAGACCTGTGCTCCCACAGCAAATGGAGCGAAATGGGACGACCAGAAATCTTAAATAATTATCTTCCTTACACAAAACCGTCCCCGAGACAGAAGCCCCAGCCTAGGGCTCAAGTTTACTACCGGCATAAATAAGAAACATAATCTGGTGGATATGGAAAACCAAGAACCAAACCCCTTTTGGAGGCTCCGAGTTTCAAAAAGGCTTTTTTCAAGGAATTATCACGCTGCAGCTACTGAGCCTTCAAGACCGGTCATTCCCAGAAGATACATCCAAGCACTTAGGGACTTGGCTAACAACGATGTTTATCCTCATTACAACCACTGACAAAGGAGTTGGTGGGGGTGTTATTCGACACTGTCGACCACAAAAATAAAGTTTTAAATCTTCTCAATGATGCAACACATACCAGCCTGTATCAGAATCAGTGCTACTTCAAAGAAACCCAGACTTTTCTTCAAAAGGCTCGTAGCATCTTACGAAAATCAGAGCAAGGCAAAAAACTACTTAAACTTTTCCCAGGTCAACCAAACCAGCACCCCTGTATGGCCTTCCTAAGACACACAAACCTGGCATCCCACTACGGCCTATCACTTCGGGTATAGGGAGTGCACCACACAGACTAGCCGGCCACCTTGGCCAAATACCTTTCAGCGCTTCTGGGCACCATCAGTCAAGCCCACCTCAAAACACTCAGGTGCCCTCTCCCAAATTTTCCCAAAACCTGAATGTTAAAAAAAAAAGCATGGCTTCCTTCGATGCCACAGCCCTCTTTACCCAACGTTCCTACTGACGCTGCTATCAACATTCTGAGCAGAGGCTCACTGAAAACCACGACCTCCCTTTACCTCTTCTAGATTTCATAAAGCCCTAGGGGAAATCTTTGTTTAATTTCAATTTCTTTAAGTATCAGGAAAAACTTTTTCAGTGCTTTGTGATGGAAAATGGGCAGCCCGCTAAAGTGCTGTGCTTGCCAATCTCATGGAAAACCTAGAGGCAGAGAAATTCAGCACCCCATTCCCAACACCGTTACCGGGCTACGATACGTTGATGATATATTGGTTTTCTATCCAAGACGTCTCAATATCCGGGCCCCTTCTCAGCAAGATCAATGCAGCCGAACCATCAATAAAGTTTACCCCTTGAACTCGAAAAAGATGGGAAACTTCCTTTCCTCGCGTTCTCGTGTGCAGATCTCACGACAGTGACAAAACTTCTCTTCAAAGTGTTTTAGAAAACCTACCAACAAGGACGATCTTATACACTTTATTACCCCAAGACACCCTCACTAAAAGAGGAGTCCTCATTGGCTTCTTCTTGAGAGCTCTTCGCATATCCAGCCCTTTTTTTTCTTGAAGAAGAATGTACTTACATAACACAAGCCTTTACACGTCTTCAGTTCCCATTTCCTTCATCCGAGATTGCCGACTCAGGGCACAAGCTATCCTCAACAAATCGCCCATGGAACAGCCCCCTAAGCAGTTCATAGTACTTTCCCCTGTGGTGATGTTGCCACGAATACTCCCCGGGCACTTGCCTATGAGTAACATCAACGTTTCCACCATAAACACTCCCTCTATCAAAGACCTCACTACGAAACGCAGCCCCACACCTCTAACTTCTACAGCAGGCGTCTACACTATCCCCTGTGGGTTCTGTCCCCAAAAAATATGTAGGTGGGGACAGGCAGAGATCTTGCAGTCCGCCTGAATGAACATCGAAAAAGCCTCTAACAGAGACGATGTAAGGTACGCCTGTGTCCTCCACAGTTTACTCCACAGGGCATTTGATGAACGGAATGTGACACAACTCGTTCTCACCGAACCAGACCTCAGACGCCGACGGTGCCCAGAAGCCTCACTAATCGCCGTCACCGACACATAGAACGTAAAAACTGGAAACTACAAAATTTCAAAAAAAATTGGCAAAACATGATACTTAAGCACCACCATCCAACAACCAGGAGTCACATGATTTCATCGTCTACCCGTCCTCATCCCAATATGGACATTCTTCAGGTCACCGTGCGTCACTCACACCTCACTCTCCGCCTATATATATATAATGTCTTTCTACCTCTGTATGTTAGAAGTGATCGAGGTCCCAGGACCGAAACGTTTTCTAATAAATATATCATAGTGTTTGCTTACGTGTCTTTCTAAACCAACTTGTCGGTATTTATTACCAAGGTTTATACCATCTTGTTTTTAAAGGGTAAACAATGAGTACTAGCTATGCGCAAAGCCTGCCAGATTAGCTGAGTATAAAACTGGTAACAAAGTTTGAATCTTAACTAGAAGACTTAATTTCATGTAAAACATGGATGGTATTCAAAATAAAGAATGTAGAAAAAAGAACCTGGTAATGAGGCAAATACTTGTGCTCTGGACGATGCGTAGCGAGTGTGTGGTGTTCTACCAGGCCGCATCAGTCACACAATACTTGTGCTCTGGACGATGCGTAGCGAGTGTGTGGTGTTCTACCAGGCCGCATCAGTCACACAATACTTCACTATGTGCTGATGCTCCCTCCCTCCAACTGATAATAAATCTGTCATCCACATCAGGGCAATTCATTGTGATTCATGACTTTACGCACTTATGATAACCTTGCATACCTGTTGAACTTCGTAACAACACACATGCACTTAATGTTCCACCTGGAATAACAATGATAAGTATTATCAGCAAAAATTGGTTGCCTCTACAGGGGGTTTCACAGCTATAAATATAGTTATTCCTTAAATTTATAAATGCAGAGGGGAATTTAAATGACTTGAATAGTGAGCTTAAAATAACCTATAGTCTATTTTATTAACAATATTTGCAGGGTTATGAAATTAACCAAATGTGGCTGACTTTTGTAATTATTATATAAGAAAGGACTTACTCTCTCACTAGAAGGTTACAAATGGGATTAAGAAAAACTATCAGTTAGAATAGGAGGGAATAGGAGTTCCTAGGGCCCCACAGTATAACCTGCAGCTCTATCACAGTATTTAACTTTGTGAATTGTTGGATCTCAAGATCCAAATTGCGTTGAAGGAAGAAGACAGTGGTACAGCCTTTCACATTCTTCAGAGAGACCAACTTCTCCTGTATCATACAGTCATAATGGGGGAAAATCCAGGAAAATTGCTCAACAATGCTTAACAATGTTTATAGAAAAGCAATGAGGGTATATTATGCTAGGGATTTCCTTTTGATTGTTCCTAATTCCTCTCCGAGTACTTGCCTCGAAACTCATGGGATTTGCATTGGTGAACCTAAATGCCTGCTACTCCTATTCTCACTAAACACTTGTGTATATGCAACAACGTATCTGCCGACTAATTTAATCCCAATAATCTCATCAGTCGCAGGTGACAGAGAAAATTTCCTTACATGAAAAGGTCAATGACACCCTCGAGCGAACTTTCATTTCATTACGTAAGTTCTTTATCAGAAAGGGAACCACAATTAAGCAGTCACAATGGAAGCCGCAAAATCCAGATATAGTCACCATGCTACTTTGTACAGACGGTAAGAAGATAGCGTGGGACTAAACATATGCATCAACAAGGGCCGATACTTACATCAGGGAAACCCAGAGGACTCTCAAATACTGGGGTCTCCCTTAGCATGCTATATCATTATCTCAGAAGGATCAGCGATCATAGAATAATGAGGAAAATTGCCACAATATTATATATATATATATATATATATATATTATATATATATATATATATATTATATATATATTATATATATATAATATATATATATGTACCCTGAAACAAATTTGTCAAAGAAATCAAGAGCCCCGAACAACCAGCTTCATTAAGAGAGACTTAGTGTTACGATTACGGTAAACCTCACAGGAGCAAGATGAAGTTTTTGAAATATAAGTTTTGTGTCAGTTTTCTTATTTCCAATTTATTATATGAATAAAAGTTTTTGCAAAACACAAACATACACAGACACACCCACACAAGTCTGTACAAACACACACACACACACACACAGACACACCCACACAAGTCTGTACAAACACACACACACACGGGGCCAGGAGCTCGGACTCGACCCCCGCAACCTCAACTAGGTGAGTACACAGTTGACATTTCTAAAACTAGCATATTTGTTTTGCACAAGTACTTTCACACTTTTCAGTGAGTCATCAGGAGCTGTGTAATGTTGCAAAGTTAGCAACAGGAGAAAAGAAGGGAAGCTTTTTCAGAGTATGGCAGCATGTACCGTCATAGACGCTAAGACATTGTGTAGTTTTAAAAATAGGTTGGTCTGAAAAATGGCAGATGAAGTAATGAAAATAACCCTCGAAGCTATAGTCTAGGTGAAGTAGAGCTTGATCATACAGAATGTGAAAGGGTCTTGGGAGTCATGGTAAGCATGAAGACCTGTTTGTGTGCTCTCTGTGAATCTGAACCAGGATGCCCTCTCTTGAGCACCTTTACCAGCAGCTGAGAGAAGAGCTCAGAGTTGCTAAGCTAGAGATACGACGATTAACGGAGGAGAACAAGAGGATTCGTAGTAATCCTCCTATTGTGAGTCCCCAGGTTAATAGGGGAGATTGGTCAGTGGCCGGGCAACATGGAACCAAGCTGAGGATCAAGAAAACGGTTGGAGAGGCAGAAACAACGAGAAACCAGAAGACTACCGTGGAAACTTCCAACTCATTCTCGGTGCTACCTGACGAATGTGAGTGTTCTACTGGGAATGCCACAACGAGCACCAAGGAAGAATTGGCAGACGTGAGTGAGACATCCTTAGAAACCCCAACGAAGACCATCGAGAACGTCTTGACGAATTCCACAAGTGATGTAATGCTACCTGAAGAATGTGAGTCGACTACTCGGAGCATCACGACGGACGACGCCAAGGAAGGTAAAAACATTGTTGTTGGGGATAGCCAGATTAGGTACATGGATAGGGCATTCTGCTTGAAGGATAGGAGTAGGAGGCAGAGAGTGTGTTTTCCTGGGGCTGGGATGAAGGATATTGTTAGCCGTCTGGATGACATCATGAGAGGTAATGGGAGCAATCCTATTATCCGTCTCAGTGCTGGAGGCAACGATGTTGGCAGACGTAGGAGTGAGGACCTGATTAGCAGGAATAGGTCAGCAATAGAGATAATTAGGAGGGTGGGAAACCTGTCACATGTGACATTTTGCCAAGGAGAGGAGTTGGAAATGAATGGTTGTCCAGAGCAATTGGTGTCAATTGCTGGCTGGACAAATACTGTAAGGAAAATGCGGTAACATTCATTGACAACTGGGACCTCTTCTATGGCAGAAATGACATGTATGCCAGGGATGGGGTTCACTTATCTAGGTGTGGGGTGGGAGCACTGGCCAACGCAGTGGAGGGAGGTGTTAGGTCTTTAAACTAGGAACAGTTAGTGGTTTGGGTTTTGGCGGGAAAACAGTGAAATTGTAGGGTAGGAGAACTAGTAATAGGCAAAATGAGGTGGATATTGGAAAGCCAGTGGCACTAATTGACAAGGACAGTAATAGGTTTAGTGGAATAACAGAGAGGAGCAGGAAGGGTAAAGAGAGAGGAGGGTCTTTAAATATATATTACACAAATAGTCGCAGAGCCAGGAATAAGATGGACAAGTTGAGACTAGTTGCTAGTGCAGGTAACATTGATGTATTTGCCATAACTGAGACGTGGTTTAATTCAAAAAGTCGGGACATGCCTGCAGAATGTCACATTCAGGGTTTTAAATTGTTCCAAGTAGATAGAAGTATCGGGAAGGGGGGTGGGGAGGCAGTGTATGTCCGAGATCGCTTGAACTGTTGCATAAAAGCGGGTATTAAGTCTGAAGTAACACATACAGAGTCTGTTTGGATAGAATTTTCAGAGGGGCATGAAAAATTAATTTTAGGTGTGATATACAGTCCCCCAAACTTAGGTAGGGACCAAGGGAGACTACTATGGGAGGAAATTGTTAGGGCCACAAGGCACGATAATGTAGTAATTCTAGGAGACTAACTTTAGTCATATTGATTGGAATTTCTTGACTGGGAATTTAGAATCATACGACTTCTTAGAAGTAGTTCAGGATTGTTTTTTGAAGCAGTTTGTGACAGAACCTACAAGGGGAAATAACCTGCTTGACTTAGTTCTGACAAACAATGAATCCCTTGTTAATAATTTAGAAGTTTCAGAGGAACTGGGTGCTAGCGACCACAAATCAATTACATTTAGAATTGAATGGAAGTATGATAATAGGGATAACTCAGTAACAGTCCCAGATTTTCGCTTAGCAGATTATGATGGGCTTAGAGAACACTTATCATCTGTTGACTGGGGTAACGAAGAGAGCTATCAATATGACAGTTTTCTGAACACTATACATGCTGCTCAAAGAACGTTTATCCCGTATAAAGAAATTAGATCAAATAGAAATGACCCAAAAAGGATGGATAATAGGCTCAAATATCTACTAGGGCATAAGAAAGGAATTTATAGGCATATCAAAAGAGGTGAGGGTCATCTTATGAATCAGTATATTGACATTAAGAGGGACATTAAAAAGGGGATAAGAAAAGCTAAAAGGGACTATGAAATTAAAGTTGCTAGGGATTCTAAAACTAACCCAAAAAGTCAGAGATAAGACAGGTCCCCTTACAAATAACAAAGAGAATGAAATGTGCTCGATTTTAAATAATTTTCTCTAGGTTTTTACACAGGAAGACACTAATAATATTCCAGTAATTAATTTTTATAGTGGGCCAGAAGAAGATAAATTATGTAACATCACAGTCACTAGTGAAATGGTTGTGAAGCAAATAGACCGATTGAAGCAAAATAAGTCACCGGGTCCTGATGAGGTTTTTTCAAGGGTTCTTAAGGAATGCAAAATGGAAGTTTGTGAACCATTAACTAATATTTTTAATTTATTTCTTCAAACAGGTGTAGTGTCTGATATGTGGAAGATGGCTAATGTAATTCCTATTTTTAAAACAGGGGACAAGTCGTTACCGTCAAATTACCGCCCAATAAGCCTGACCTCAATTGTAGGCAAGTTGCTAGAGTCAATTATACTCTATACTCTCATACATTCCCCTCTTTGCCTCCAAGGACAAAGTTCTTTGTCTCCACAGACTCCTAAGTGCACCACTCACTCTTTTCCCCTCATCAATTCTATGATTCACCTCATCTTTCATAGACCCATCCACTGACACGTCCACTCCCAAATATTTGAATACATTCACCTCCTCCATACTCTCTCCCTCCAATCTGATATTCAATCTTTCATCACCTAATCTTTTTATCCTCATAACATTACTCTTCCCTGTATTCACCTTTAATTTTCTTCTTTTGCACACCCTACCAAATTCATCCACCAATCTCTGCAACTTCTCTTCAGAATCTCCCAAGAGCACAGTGTCATCAGCAAAGAGCAGCTGTGACAACTCCCACTTTGTGTGTGATTCTTTATTTTTTAACTCCACGCCTCTTGCCAAGACCCTCGCATTTACTTCTCTTACAACCCCATCTATAAATATATTAAACAAC